GTTATTCGGGGTGTATGGTCTTTTTTTATTAATTTTTTGCTCCTATATTCCTCCCATTTATTGGTCCTCCTCCCCTCTAAAGTTGTCGTTCACAGATGCTGGCAAAATGTTAGGAAACAAAACTTCCAGAACACGGCCACACAGCCCGGAAGACGCACACCAGCCATAGAAAAATCTGTTTGCGATTTTCCTTTAAGCATTCTGTAACTTCTAAATGTATCTTCAGCTTTGTTTTGATGTTAATTCTGCAGGGAGTTCTGTGCGCTTTCATGCTTAATGGCTGCTTGCAGACTTGCTAAGATACCCATATGTTCCTTAGCAGTTCCACCCTATATAGGAAAATATTTTGGGCCCAGCCAGTCATCCATTTAGTTCCGTACTCTACACATTCACTGGTAGAGACCTGAGAGCTTTGGCAAAGCATATACTGCTGCTTAGTCATTCTCTGGTTTGAACCTTAAGAACACTGATTGTGTGAATTACACGGCATCGATCATAGTACACTACTCTTTATGTGCCTGGTAATTTATAGATGTATATAAGACCAAAATGCCAATTGTTTTAAAGAATTGGTCTTGGGTTTTTTAAAATCATTTTCCCATTTAGTCTATCGATTTCCATAATGTATATAATGCTGGCATTTTTAATATTCTCTTGCACTCTGTAGAGTTGGAATGTACTTGAAGGTTACTAAATCCTGCAGCTTCTACTCATTGCTTCCAATGACCTCTACACTCCTATTATTTTTTAAAAAAACATTGTTAGGCTGCTTCTGCTTTCATTTTGTACCAAACTACTTTGTGTCCTTTTTGCAGAGAAATATACAGTAAAATAATGTTTATGAATTTCATGTTCTCTCTCTTCCCATAACCTTTCCATGAACCTTTCATCTATCTAATTTCTACAGTGCAAATAATACTTCTAGTGCAAAGGAGATAAAATGTATTCAAGTTACAATTTGTACTGACTCTAGAAAGGTGAGGGGGGGGGTCATTTGTTTCTCACTCTAAACCTAACCCTAGTGCAGTGTTTCTCAACTTTGGCAAAGTTAAGATGGGTGGACTTCAACTCCCAGAAGTCCCCAGCCAGCTGGGGACTTCTGGGAGTTGAAGTCCACCCATCTTAACTTTGCCAAGGTTGAAAAACACTGCCCTAGTGATTTATTCCAACTGGATTTTAAATAGCAGGTTTCCTATTGCCTCCATCCTGGTGTTCTTTGGATGTGCTGGAGGATAAATGGCCAACAGATCTGAAGCGTACTAGTTTGGGGAATGCTGAATTTGATTCTCTGCCTGATGAAACTCAGTCCACAGTTAAATGGGTTGTCTTGACAGTCTTGTTATTCAGAAACTGTTTTCAGTTAATATTAACATTTGTTCCTGCAGTAGAGAATAGTGATAAAACATAATTTAAAGACAAACTCACAATGGCTTGGTCAAACCAATTCAGGAATGGGCAACTAAGGCCATATGCTGCGTTGGCCCTAATTTGGAAACCCTTTTGAAAGAGATCAGTTCAGAAGTTCTGTAAGAGTTTGGAGGTGGGAAAGAATTGGAGGTAAGGAAGAAGGGGTTAAAATGTGAAAAAGGAGATAAGTGCCCCACCCATTTTAGAACTGGACATACTCTCTTCTTGCTTCAGTCGTGCCTACCATCCTATAATGGGATGTGGGAATGACCTTGAGAGACAGGAAGAAGAGCCACAGATTGGACAACTGGCATGTAAAAGATATTTCGATCCACAGAAGGGGGGGCATGGGAAGCATTTCAGAAGGGATCCTTGTTTTCTGGAGAGTAAAAGGAGAAGAGGGGAGAAATACTTTCAGTCTTGCAAGATTCTGTTAATGTAACCTTATAATAAAGATAGAGCTAGAATTCATGTTGTGCTTCTTGTCTGGACTACCCTGAAGCACTGACACATCACTTGTAAGATGGTCCTCAACAATGGTCACAAAATAATAGCCCATGCTCATTTTATGCAGAGTCCAACCATTGCAAAAAGCTATAAATAGGTTTCTAGCCTAGCGCCTTAACTACTACTACAAACTGGTTTTCAAAGGTGAAATATTTATTAAATTTGTGTCCCCCCCAATCTCACCCAATGGGTGACTCTGTCTAAAGCAGGGTTCCTCAACTTCAGCAACTTTAAGATGGGTGGACTTCAACGCCCAGAATTCCCCAGCCAGCCATGTCCACCCATCTTAAAGTTGCTGAAGTTGAGGAACTCTGGTCTAAAGTACCTGTCTGAAAAAAGAAAGGCCTTCACTCTGTACCTAAACTAGCAGATCACCTGATTTTTGTAGTAGCCTAATGTGATTACTCCTGATGTTTCCATCTGTATGATTTTAATGTAATAACCATACATGTAAAAACCAGTTGTTCTTGAAGTATAAATTAAATTACAGTTGCTAGACAGACCAGCATGACTGCCTCTGTACCAGACATGGAAAGAGGTGGGTTAAGAAGCACTGACTAAGGCAACCTAGGGTGTTTACTGTGCCTGTGGTTGCATTATACCCTTAGCCATGGTTAACTAAACCATAATGTACTGAACACAATTTATTAGGTTTACACTGGCCGTAAATTAGCCACATGGGTTTAGGTTACACAGGGTGCCAGCATAACTCTGAATGGCTATTGTTTTGGTTCAGAGTCCTGTGTGAACCCACCCAGTGGGAGAGAGTTATGAGTTGATGTGTTAGCTATCCATATTTTGGTTCTTGAGATAGCCTGATGATCGTGGTGAATGTCCTTCCCTTAGTGCTGGAGATAGTGAAAAAGTTAGTTTAGTTTAAGCAACATGCTAATCTTAGCCATCATTTTAGAATAAACCACAAGTGGCTGGGCTAAATTAGTTTAAACAAACCATAGGATAGTGTCATGTGGGAGCCAAACCATTGGGATTAGAAAACCATGGTATTGAGTGAACCAAGCCAGTTGAGACTTACTCAGGAAACCATAGTTAAGTGCAGTGAGGATCCAATTGAATCTAGTCATAAAGACTGGGTGATACTGTA